TTCACGATGATGTCGAGTTCATCAGATATAATCTTGTACTGCGCCGTGTCCTGGAAGCTGGTAAAGAAAGAGGGGATGTAGACGAGCGTGAGCGCAGTTGCAAGTGCAGGAACGATGGTCGTGGGTATCTGCAGGCTGATTAGCTACATGCACTCAGTTATTGGTCGCTCTCCAGGTACGTACCCATCGCAGGAAGATCCAGATGCTCAGGCGAAGAGCCAAAGAGCTTACGAGCGTAAGAACATCGCTCGCAGATGCCATGTTTGCTAAGCGACAAGCATCACTCGGCAGTCAAGGTACCAGAGGTTTTACGGAGAGAGATGCGCGTCCTCGAAGCTTGTGAAAGTGGAGCCGTCACGCCAGACACGCGAATCACCATGACGTCGCCCTCGCCGCTAATGAGCTAGCGCATTCCCGACGCGACGAGCAACACTGACAGCAACACCACAAATATCCATTACACATATCTCAAAGGTAACAAAAGTATCGTGGAACTCACGTCAGAAACTTGGTGGTGCTTGATCTTCCGTAGGAGTGGATCCCCTGTCGCTTTACAATTAGGCTCCAAGTTTCCAGCACACGCAGAGTATGGCATACATGGTCATATGCAACATTGCTGCTATCTGATCATGCCTTGTAAGCACTTCATTGGACGGAGGTGGCGGTGTTCCATCTACTTTGTTAAGCGACCGGGCTGAGCCCCCCGCTTCGCTCAGCCTGATCTCGACTTCTCAGCGCTTGAACAACATTGTTGGTTCTCTTACATGGCTTCCTTTACCTTACGATATGCGGCTCATCAACACCGGCACAGGATTATTCAAAGAGTTCATCGGTCGGAAGACTCCAGAGTATGCCATTTTATCCCATACCTGGGAAGAGGAGGAAGTGTCTTACCAGGATTATGTCAGCGGTGCTTATTCACACAAGAAAGGATATGAAAAGATCAGGAAGACGCTTGAACTGGCTAAGAAGAACAATCTGTCTTATGCATGGATAGATACGTGTTGTATCGACAAGAGTAGCAGCGCCGAGTTGACAGAAGCAATCAACTCAATGTATCGATGGTATCAAAGAAGTCGAACATGTTTCGTGTATCTCTCGGACCTCAAATCAGAACGAAACTCACGGGATCTTAGAGGATGCCGGTGGTAAGTCAACGTCAATTACGACTGGAATCAGGCCTAAGTCCATTACAGGTTCACGCGCGGCTGGACGTTACAAGAGTTGATCGCCCCTAGTAGTGATGATATGTATTTCTACGACTCGGAATGGAAATATGTGGGATCCAAAACCGATCTTGAGTATGAAATATCTAAAGTCACTGGAGTTTCTCGTGAAGTCTTACTGAACCACGACGCTCTCTCATCAGTGTGTGTTGCTCGGAAGATGTCTTGGGCTGCAGATCGAGAGACTACTCGTGTCGAAGACATGGCATATTGTCTGCTCGGCCTGTTCAATGTTAACATGCCCCTGTTATATGGAGAAGAATCGAAAGCCTTCCGGAGACTGCAAGAAGAGATCATCAGAACGAACCCTGATATCAGTATCTTTGCTTGGAAAGTCGAAATAACATACAAAGGTCCACGGCGTATGAATCCAGAAGTTTCGGCCCACTGTGGTATACTGGCCCAATCCCCAGCTCCATTCAAATATGCTAGAAGATTCCAGACCGCATTGGTTGGTGGTTTCCAACAGGAATTTTCAATCTGCAATAACGGCATAAAAACAAATTCTCTTTTTACTGTTTTTGGAACACATGGTGGTTTCTACGTCTTACCGTTGTACTGTCGGACGACAGAGGGTACTGATCTTGCTATACGGTTGCGAAAGGTAGGACCAGATACCTTCGTGCGAGACAGCCCTAACAGCCTCTTTGCTTACATGGACATACTTCTCAAACATGTACCTGGACATTACTATATCCTTGTTGATCAATACCCTAAGGATGATTCACGGCATCAGTCACTTCTTGAATCGTGGGCACAGCTGTCTGTCAGTTCATACCGCCCGAACTTTTTACGGTTTGAATTAGCACCGGAGATAGTTGTCCATGAGCGACTAGGTTGTTTTGACCCCGAAGACGGGGTATTTTTCGTGCCAAAGGGCGTCCGAACAGATTGCGCTGGAATGGTGTTCTCCGTACGCCCACCCCAGAACGACAAAGGGGTCAGCATAGCTCAAGGACACCGATTTATTGTATTAGCTTTTGGATGGTCAACCGAGATCGAAGCGACCCAATACACTGTGGCAGACCTCAACAGATGGACAGAGGAACTTTCGAACATGGAGAGCTTGCTCGCACAGGGGGCAAACACTCAGACTCAACTGCTTCGAATAATGGCTCTTTGGAACATCCCTAAGGTATCTAGCGTAGCCTGTCCTCTTGCCGACTCAAGCGAGTACATTCGTGTACATTTGGAACCTGCATATACGACTAGAAGAATTCGTGTTGGCTACGACATCTTGGAGTCGGAAGACATGCCCCGTGAGAACAGAGGCAGATGGACATGGTCTGATTGATGGGCTTTGGGTACTGTCAATCGCTGTGTATGATACGACTAGCCAGCCCTCGCTCACGAGCATGCAAAGAAACATACTCCCATCGTCATCACGGTCTGCGTGCATACCAAACAACTGATGATTGTGGCATCGGCTCTCTCTCTCAGAAGCCTCGATCAGGAAGCTTAGCGAGAGACAAGCCTAGACTTGAGAGACTTAATGACGATGTAGATCTACAACTCCATACTCGATATCAAAGTGGTGTTCTTTGGTACCATATCGAGCAAAGCTTCGTGGTACGTTGTTCCAAAAGTATGCTTCACCAACTCCTACACTGCAGACAACAACCAAGACGCGTCCAGCTGAGAATCGGAAACGCGTAATCACATGACATTCACCTGGCCAACCGCTTCCTCCACGTCTTTCCGTCAATTCCCTTTCCTTATCGACATATCCTATCCACTGCAAGCCCCCATCCCCGTCACATCCGTCTCATCTCCACCTTTGCATCCCTCGCGGTCGATCAAACGACCTTCATATGCATCCTTCTGCACGCAATACTGCACCTCCCGTGCCTTTCTCCGAAGTCCCACAATCACAATCACGACCGATATCTACTTCTTCCGCGTTCCCGTTTCACCATGCCAAGCCCAACTCGTTCCTTTTCGAGAAAATGTCGCGCGACTAACGCGTTTCACCTTGACGAACTACAACCACATTTTCCCCAAAGTTCAGCACAGCACGGTCACCGAACTGACTTATCGTGATACTGGTAGTTCACTTTCTGAACATCAAGGAGCTTGGGCCACACGGAGAAATTTAGCAGACGCGGCAGCCGATCATGGGTTGTTGTGGTCGTGTAGGGGTAAGTGGCGACTTTGGTAAGTTTTAGATGACGGGTATCTGATCGGACGGTGGTTTGACGGCGAGATATGGGAAGCGCGCGGCCCTCCGAGCGGATGTTTTCTTCCCCTTGCATCAATTTCGGTGTTGCTATAGACAGGGGTGAGCCGGATATTATGATCGCCTGAATGAGGCTGATTTTCTTGCATTGTGAAAGTGGGGATTGGCGTGGGTGTGATGGCAGATTTGGTGGTGTGATGAGCAGATGAGGGCCTACGTGGTCGGGCGCATTGTGTGGGTGGGCACGTGGTGGAGAATAACGGTTGCGAGGGAACGATGTTTATTGTAGACTTAGTCAGTGTTGCCGAGCATTGATGCTGGAGTTGAGTAAGGTCGGTAATCTCATTGGTGTTGTGGTGCTACGAGGAAAGTGAACGGAAGTTTGGCTGCCCCGAGAGTTTGACAAAACAAAATTGTGTCCTCGTAGCACTGCAACTGCAACCGGAGAGGCGTTCTCGCTACCTTATTTCGTGCTCTGCCGTCGTTTGTATATCCGACCAAAAAGCATACTGAGCTCATTGTAGATGCAACCTTCCTGAAGCGAATAATCAACCATCGCCTGTGACCGTACTAAGCGTATCCTGAGTTCGTCGGTGTTAGCCGATAGGTCGTGTGTTTCTTGTTCCCGAGGTGTTCTTTTCGCCATCGTCCTCCCAAACATGACCAGACAAGGGTACCTGTCCCCACATGACCCTAACATAGCCAAGCCTCAAAGCAACAGTTAAACTGGGGCATTTCACTCCTTCGGTCCGCTGCAAGGGTAAAGGTGGGAACGCCGAATTCAGTCGGCCCACTACCATTTTCGGAGGTGCAACTGTGGGAAGGGAAACTTGGATTTGAGGCCGAAGGCCCACTGTAGAGAGGGTCTGGCAACGTCATGCTGGACCATGGTGTTGGGTAGGCTGGGCGTATGTAGATGGCGACGTTGGGAGCTGATGCCTGGAAACTTGGAGGTTGGAAACCTGGTGGTTGGGGTTGGGCATGCGTGGCGTCATGGTGCATGCACGCTGTCGATGTCGTTGTCACAAGTTAATGCCATGGTGATCCGAACGAGTCTGAACAAGTACGTCACAAAAGCAAACTGTTAGTGATGAATCGTCACGTTTGTGGCGCAATGTGATAGGCAAGGTGTGTTGTAAGCGAAGTAGATTCTGATTCTCATCTCGCTAGGCGAAGACTAGGAAATGCCTATGGGATATCATGACCGTTCATTTCTAGACAAAGCAAACAAAAGCTACGGCTGTGCGACAAATTGTAAGATGACAAGAAAGTATGCATGCTGGATGCGATGGATAGCGACAGATGGTGTGTGGCGGCGAACACTTCGCAATTGCCAACAACGAAATAGGTTGGGAGGGTATCGTAACCTCGAAGGACAAACAGGAATGGAAGCTGATGACAAGGAGATGCAATGTCGTGCGCTGTGGGTACACCGGGTATTATGCGCTAAGGACTTAAGTGCCAAGATGGCATGCAGGGAGAAGGTAGTAGAGGTGGAGTAGAATGTACAAGGTAGTCGCAGACTGGTGTGTCGTCTATGCGTTTATGCGTTCGGGGGGTGGGGATGCGTTTCGAAACAAAGTGAGGTCTTGATGCGTTTACAGCGAATCCATGAAATCCATTAGTGACTTGCGTCGTCGGATTGCGCGGCTCTTGACGCTGGACGTGGCATCGTCGTCATTTGGTGGGAATTCCGGAATGACAAGAGTAGGCTCACGCTCGTTGGCTCCGCGAGCCGTCATCCTGCCAAGGGTAGTTGCACGCTTTTGCTGCATTGTGCTGGTGTTGATCTGGGGAAGCGGAGGAGCCACCTCTGGTGTAGGCACCCTCTTAGAGTCGTTTCCCCGAGATTTTGGTCGGAGGATAGTGGATGCGCGACGGAGCTTGTTCGGGCTGGAGAAGTTGGCTGAACCCTCAATTGGTGCAGTCTGAGGCGTCATGGGTCCTGGTGTCATCGGTGTAGGAGGAGCCTTGCCGTTGATGCGGGAGTCGTATGGCTTCTTCGCTGGTGAGATGGCAATCTTGGCTAGAGACAACTTCATGGATATCGATCTTAACCGTCTGTGCGCAGCAGGCTTCTTGAGGATGGGCGATGCGGCGCTTTTGTTCGAGTTCTCGTAAGGGTCGGAGCTGAGGAAGGAAAGTGCTGGTGAGTTGGGGGTCAACGGCGTGAACTGTGATTGCCTGTACGACGACGATTGGTAAGATGACTGCGATGTTTGTATCCGTGCCAGGTTAAGGCGGGATGTTGATGGCATGTACACAGAGGAGCGGGCTGATTGTGCGTCTCCTGCGGTGGAGGAGGAGGGTCGACGAGGTGCCTCGCTCTGTGCATGGCTCGGTGCGGGTGAGTAGCTGCGAGTCGATGCAGTCTGGAAGGACGATGCGAAGGAAGCGGAGTCGGGGTATGTGGCAATCTTGGTGGTGATGGGGCTGTGGCTGGTAGATGGTCGTCGAGGCTCAGGGTCGGCGACAGGCGATGTGGAGCGTGAGAGGGGAGGAGAAGCCAGACGACTTGTAGGCATGACCCTCATGGATAGTCGCTGTGCCTCGTCTGCCTTTCGTAGCTTACCAGCTGATGTGACGGGAAGCAGGTTCGCGACAGAAGCCGAGCGCTGCTGGACCGTTGGGCGATCGACAGGCGAGCGTTGGTTCTCGACAACTTTCGGACGACCTGCATGCGCGTAGGACACCAGCACGGCCATGTCGCAGCTCTTTCCCTTGTCCCATCTCGACACTGACATGGTCCTCGCCTTGCACTCTTGTGAGAGATCGTGGACAACAACGTCATCGTAGTCGTATTCAGAATCAGAGCCAGACGCGTCGTCGGCAGTCAGGTCCTCCTCGCTGGATAGGTATCGCTCTTGGAAGACGGCGCCTTCCTTGTTGTTGCTGGTGGCCGTGGGTGGGTTTGGTCGTTCTGTGGTAGCGGAGTCTATGCGTAGCGTGTCGGGAGCATCGTCGCACAGGTTAGGGCTCGAGGCAGCACTGTCGGTGCTGGAGCGTTGTTGAAGGCGAGCGACAACTTCGGGCTTGTCGAATGTCCACTGCTTCAACTGCGAAGTTACGGTTGTGTCGACCATGGTTGCTAGTGAGAAGCTGCAATTGCAACTGCAATGGCTCGTCCGGTGATGATGATATATCGGACTGAGCGGCAGCCGGGCGAGGGTTGAAACCAAAGGCGTGCAGTCCTACGCGCCAATAGTCGGAGACGTGTGCGTGGGTTGGGAACACAAGGCAAGCCGGCGTCTGAGTGAGACTGGTCCTGTCGCACGGGTTCGGCTTCCTGGTGAGTAGCAACAACTGGAGTGTGAGATGTCGTGGAGGGGCACTGTGGGTATAGGGTAGCGTCGAGCAATGGGGAGGGGTGAAGTGCGGCCGACGCTATATTACACAAATTGGCGACGCCTGTATATATTGCAGCACTTTCCAGGTTCTGCCCCCCTGGCAGCCGTCGAGGTTTCAAGTACAACCGAGTACGGTGGAGACGGGCGAGCGAGCAGGGAGGGAACCCAAGAGTCAGTTCACCGTGTCGGTGCGCCATTCATCATCTCACGCTGGACTAGCACCAGGCACTGACGACTTTCAATGGCGCAACTCTCCAGCCCTCTGCAGCTTGCGCTTGCACTTGCACTAGCTGCCGGCTGGCGAGGTGTGCTGAGGGGCCTGACGTGAGTGGCCCACGCCGAGTTTCAAGACGCTCAGCGCGCACACCCTCAGCACATGAGCGAGCGCCTACTGGGAACTCATGGCGTGCACACCAGACTGATGCCGTTGCAAAACGACCCTGGGTCGTTGCGATGGCAATGTCACCACAGGACGGGACGCGTTCATGATCGCCATCCTTTCATCAGCGCGCACATGGCACCATTTCCTTTCTCGACGGTGACCTGACAGGTGTTCCTGTGCCGCTCAGGGGCAGCACCACTCACCGTCCGCCGTCGCTAGATGGGGCGCCCAATGTGTGGGGTTGGCCCAGGAGCGGACTACGCCATTGCCGAAAAGATCATCGATAACTGTCACCATGTCTTTTTTCTTTGCCCGCTCTAACCGTTGCTTGCATTGGCAAGCCCCGAGAGCCCTGGAAGACCCTTCTTTCTCAAAACTCTCAGAGCACGAGCGCAGCCTGACCCTTTCCGTGGAGTTTGCTCCGACGCCTGCTGCCCCCAGGACCCGGAGTCGCACAGCTGCTGACTGCGCGAAAATATCCTTGGCCGTCATGCCTATCTTTTTCAGCCAGGAACGCGCTGATCCACTCTATTCTCGGTCCAAACTCACCTGCATGCTGCGCTCCATTTTACGTGCAGACGGTGTGCACGGTCACCGCCCAGCGTACTATTCGTTGCGGCACCATCTATTGCCCGCCCACACCGCCAACACCATATCCAGGCCTACCCTGGCCCCCTCGCAGCCTATACCTACAGTTCATCGTGTGCCGCACTCACTCATCAATCACAAACCGCACAAGATTGCGTTGATGCATCGAGTCAAGATACGTCCCGCGATCTATCTGCGAGGGTCTTCTGATTCCCTGAAGAGTCAGTCACGTCGCCGAATGAAGCCACTAGCATCGACTCTCGGCAATCTGGGTATATTACACTACGCCTCTAGCAGCTTATCGTCGGAGTTTAGGACCGTGCTAGCTGCCCACAGTACTCAGGTGCTTTCCAAATAAGACATCGTTGGACGGTGAGCCTCATGAGGGTTGCCTGTAATGCCAGTCATTAGGCCAATCCTCGGATTAGCCTCGCATTCTACACCAACATGGCAAGCCCTAGTCACAACGTGATCGGAAGCTCATCTCTCGTCTCACAGTGCGAGATCCTTTAGGCGATAGTCCATTCTTGGCCACTACCGCTCACCTCAGCATTTTCTGTGGTAGCCTTGTGGTAGCCTGTTGCATCCCAATAGTCTGGCCCTATCATCTTACGTCACAAGGCTGGTAAGGCACACCCAAAATGGCCTGGTACTCCAACACCAGCGGCCGTTTCATCGTCTGGTTTCTTTTCATCATGTTCGCATCATCCTGAAGAACTGTTCGGTTCACGCTCAAACGTGCCGTCTAGGCCCTGCATCGAGTCTGCATGTCTCATATGCAGTGTCATAGCGACGGTTCCGCACACGTTGCCACGCCCGACCGTACGGCGTGGTACCGAAGTCGACTTCGGACATGTTCTCATCGTCTCAACGTTGTGACGATGTTGGTTGCTTACAAGAAACGCACAAAGACCGGAGACGCCCCTCCACCCGATTTGTCACTGCAGCCGCACAACATTGGCGCTTCGAGAACAAGATCCATCGAATAAGGATCGCCACAGGAGTCTGTACCCTAATGGCCTTCCTATAGCGAGAACCATTCTCCTTTGCGACGGCGCGATCTGGAGTCGAGTCTGAACTGTAGAAAGTCTGGTTGGAGTAAACAGGTGCGGGCTCCAGGATTCTGAGACATGCACAAAGATTCAGCCCCATGAGGTCGCACACGAATTCCTTGGTGCTTGGTCTTGCTTACTCTGACGCGATGATCTGAAATGGAGCTACTGGCCTGTGTTCCAACGTTACCACCAACGGTGCTAGTACTTCGGCAGCTTTATGGCACGGATATCTATAAGTTGTGCTGACAGCGAAGCCTTTTTATACACTGGGTTACTTCACAGTGTCTCAACTTACCCTGGTTTCTGGCGGCAACCGCATATCCAGAGCACCCCTACAACGGCCGACCTGTTGGTATTGCTGCGCAAGCAATCGTTATCAGGCACTGGCCACTAAGACAAACAGACATTGCCATATGTGAGGCTTAGAAGACAGGCAATGGAAAGGCGAAGTTTCTGAACGGGTGTGCCTCATTAGGCGTACCGTTTCGTCTTGGGCCGCAAACAGCTCCAATTGACAAGAACTTCCGGGTCTCGATCGACGGGTTGACCCCAGAATGCCACGTATAATATCCACGCCTTAGCAAAAACTTCTCGAACATCTGATCATCAGTGATGATATTGTTGGCACACCATCTATCAGCTTATGCTTGGAAGCGAGTTTCACATATATTGTGGTCGACCACCATCGCGGCGCAGATGTACCGGTTACCGTGTGTTGGTAATAGTCGTGGGGTACGTCGCACTAATGAGACTAAGACTGGTACATGACGCAAGAGACCATGCCTAAGCTATATCAATTCCCATATTACAGCTGTCGCAAGGGTCAAAGATTAACCGGTCGATATACCGCGTGGGGTAACGACTGTAGAAGCACCGGAATCATTGTCGTCAGAAGACAGATAGAGAGACAAGACAACAACGGCCTAACATCGGTGCTCTTCGATTTCTTATCAGACAATGGTGCGATATTGGAACAGTGCTCTTATTGACAAGTATCAGTGTTTGCCTTCATACGCGTCGTCACCACATCTCTATGATTCATGACTTCCGGATGCACATGCGCGCACTGGTAAACGCAACGTGCTATCGCACCTTCTCAGGGTCCAGGTCGCGTGCTCAACCGATGATGAGAACGAATGCAAAGTACTCGCCTTCGCAATGTTGTGTTCGCTTCAATCTTTCGGGTGGCGCATGAGATGGAATACAGAGCAAGACAACCTCGAAAGTCAACTTGAAAGATTCAATCGATGGGCGACTAACGACAATATTACAGTATCAACTGTAGAAACAGCGAAGAACTAACCTCATAGATCGAGATGCATACAAACATCCCAACAAAATATCCAGATAAGGCACGATAGGCGCAAAAAGCAACAGTGTATAACGAAAAACGTTCGCTTCGGATAGGTGCCTTCCGTCCCCAGGCTTCCCGACATGGACTCATCCCATCAGTAACATCGTTGAGGCAGCAGCAGAGGAAGCGACGAGGAGCGACACGCCATGGGCGGCTACGTATCTTCTGTGCGACGCTTCTGTAGGCCGAGAAACATAAGAATCCACAGCATTCACCACATCCACAGCATTCTCTTTCGTACCTAAGGCCAAGGTGCGTTTTCGCAGATCCCATGGATTAAACGTGGATATCAATGGAATTAAGTTCCTAGTTCCTTACTTGGCACATCTTGTTCGAGACTCTTGTGTGTTGTTGTTGACCTAAAGCTCAATCCGCTCTCGCATCCCCGCATCGCGAATGCCGGTTGTTGAGCGGAAGAAGGAAGTATGCCACAACAAGTGCATTGCATGTGAATTTCTGTCGTTAGGAGGAGAGTCTGCTACATATCATGACAATATTACCTTCGACCAAACCTCAGCGCAACACTCAACATCCATTCGCTTCACTTCCTTTCGTTTCTTGTTTTGTTGTTTTCTTACACTCGTTTATAATTGAACTCACGCACTTTCCGCGGAAGACATGGCGACTATGCTTGTGCAAACAGAGGTTGAGTACCAGACACCGGTGATGATGGCGACGGCCGTGTCTACACCACGGAAACTATGGGAACATCCGGATCCAAAGTCTACGGCTATGTGGAAGTTTATGCAGGATGCCAATGCGAAACGTGGATTACATATGCAGGTACGTCTGACAATTTGGAACAAGCGAGATGAGGAACAAGAGTTGAACGAAGCATCGAGATCGTTGATCGAGATCTTTGATACGGATAAGAAGCCCACGTCTTTAGAAGAGAGGGAAGGTCATACGACCCTTGCGCGAAGCCCACAAAATCCAGTGATATGAAGATGAGTGCATGGCTGTCGCGTGCCATCAAGTCTTACTGTCATCGACAACAGCAGCAGCAACAACAACAACAATAACAACAAAACGACCAGTAGCCAAGGTACGGAATCGCTAACATGTCTCACAGACGTTCCGCGACCTCTACAACTGGAGCGTCGGACCCTCGCGCACTGATTTCTGGGTCGACATGTGGAAAGCCAGCAACCTCATCTACTCCGGTACCTACACCACCGTCGTCGACACCTCCCTCCCCATGGAGACAAATCCTCAGTGGTTCCAAGGCACTTATCTCAACTTTGCTGAAAACGTCCTTTTTACCGCCTCTCCTACCGATTCTACCGTCCGCACCACAACCCACAAAGAAGAGTCTAAAATCGCGTTGACCGAGATTCGCGAGGGCAACACTGAAATCAGACATCTAACGTGGGGTGATCTGCGACGACGCGTGGGTGTTCTCGCGAATGCTTTGCGTGCTAGGGGAGTGGGAAAGGGCGATCGCGTCGCTGTAATTGCATCAACCAGTTTTGATACATTTATTGCTTTCATGGCGACAGTCACTGTCGGTGCACTGTTCAGTTCAAGTAGTACTGATATGGGTACGAAAGGCATCCTCGAACGACTATTACAGATTCGTCCCAAATACGTTCTTGTGGATGATTGGGCAGTGTACAATGGAAAGACCTTTGATCTGAGACCGAAGATCGAGGGAATCCTCGAGGGCATGAAGAGCGGTGGTGTGGCAGAGTTTGAGGGTGTTATTGTGCAGCCTAGGTTTCCTGGGAGACCGGCCGACGTTGGAGGTTTTTCGAAGACGGTGCGATTGGATGAGTTTTTGGAGATTGCGGGAGGGAACGACACGTTGGTGTTTGAGCGTGTGGCTTTCAGAGATCCGTTTCTGATTGTCTATTCGAGTGGGACGACGGGTGTGCCAAAGTGCATTGTGCATTCGACTGGCGGTGTGCTCATGAATGTTTGCAAAGAGAGTATACTGCACAAGGAGATGACACCCGAAAGTGTGATTCTGCAGTATACTACCGTAAGTCCTTCCCCATCTCATCTCTCGCTCAACAATTGACTGACTGGCAAATGCAGACTGGATGGATAATGTACGTTGTCTCTGTACAAGTTTGTCTCTTTGGTACCCGTTCCATCCTTTACGATGGTTCTCCCTTTCAACCATCCCCAGAGGCTTTCCTCTCTATCCTAGAAGAACAGCGCGTGACCGACTTCGGCACTTCACCACGTTTCCTCCACGAACTCCAAAAACGAAACATCTCACCCCGGAACCTGTTCCAACTCTCTCACCTGAAGAGCGTAGGGACAACCGGCATGGTCCTCACAGAAGCGCAATTTGAATGGTTCTACGACGCTGGTTTCCCCACCTCCGTTCACCTACGCAATCAATCCGGTGGCACAGACATTGCTGGACGTTTTGGACTTGAGAACCCACTTCAGCCCGTTTACGCAGGCGGATGTCAAGGTCCTGCTCTAGGCACAAAGATTGAAGTCTACGACTCCCTCATCGAATCAGGTCCAGGTTGCGCAATCCCCGACGGTGAACCAGGTGAGCTCGTCGCTACCGCCTCATTCCCTAACCAGCCGGTCTACTTCTGGGGCGACGACGCTCAAAATACGCGGTACCAGTCTGCATACTTTACTCGCTTCCCTGGAGTATGGACGCACGGCGACTTCATTCAGATGCACCCCATCACAGGACAAATCTTGTTCCTCGGCCGCGCAGACGGCGTGCTGAATCCCAGCGGTGTGCGTTTTGGTTCCGCAGATATCTACAGCGTCATTGAGACGCATTTCCCCGAAGTGGCGGATAGCATCTGTGTAGGACAACGGCGACCGGGGGACGTTGACGAGAGCGTCATTCTCTTTCTCAAGATGAATAAGGGGTTCGGGTACACCGAGTCTCTGGTGAACAAGATCAAGAGTAAGATTGCTGAGGAGAGGAGTCGGCGACATGTTCCAAAATACGTGTTTCAGACTTGGGATATTCCGGTAGGTTCTCCAATTCTTTCACTTCTTCCTTTCGAATGACAGGGTACTAACAAACCTTCATTAGACCACAGTAAATTTGAAGAAGGTCGAGTTACCTGTCAAGCAGATCGTGTCCGGCAAGAAGATCAAGCCAAGCGGAACGTTGGCGAACCCTGAAAGTCTGAAGTTCTACGAGCAGTTTGCGGATGTGGAGAACGTGGTCAGGAGGATGACGAATGAGAAGAAGTCATATAGGAGGAGTACGTTATAGGTGTGAGAGGATAGACCATCGACTTGGTGTTTGGGTGATGGTGTCTGGTGTCCTTGCTTCTTTTCCCTTGAACATTTTTACTTCGACTTTATACCTATAGATTCCTTTCTTTCGACAAAGTCGCCATCATGCGACACATGTATATCTTAGCTATAACACATACATAATTTTATAACTTTGAATCATGAGCGTCGAGCACTTGTCATGAGTCAATCCTGCAGATCAAAAGACGATGTAGCGATGAAGCACATGACACAGATCACTCAGTTAGCAAACACGCACGAACTGCTTCTGAAAGGATAATAGTAATCGTCGCATTCAAAAACCTGCCATTTTGCCCATTGAAGAGAAAATCTAGGCGCTCCGTACCGCCATGAAGTAAGTCGGCGCGTGTCTGAAGACTTTTCTTTCGCCAATACGCCGTTGAACGCCCTTGTCATGCCTCCACCTCGTGCTTGCCTCCCGCGACATACTCTCTCGCGTCTCCAGCTACTTCGCACACCAAATCATCAGCCCTCATCACCCTCCTTTGTCCGTGTGATAACATTGATCGTACATCCTCATGCGCTTAGTTCTTCTCAGCGACCATGTTCTCTGTGCCCATAGTTAGCTCTAATTCCCCTGGTATGCCCCATTCTAGGGCTCATAGAATGTCCAACATACTCTGCTGTGTCAAAAGCAGTCCGTAGCGCTTCTTGATGGTGACCCTGTGCCTCGAGTACTTGTCGTCGGGGGAGAAACGAGCGGGATGCGCGCTCTTGCTGACTTCGCCATCGATGACCTTCTTCAGCGTGTAGATGCGCTTGACCGGGTTTGCCGGGTCGGGGATGTACATAAGATGCATGCTGTGGGAACGTCAGTCTGCGCTCTTCTCGTCTTGTCTCGCAGCTACTAGGATCGCGCGGCCTGCGCTTCTCCTGCGCAGAGGCGGTAGAGTTGACTAACGTGTTGGTATTGGAGTTGCGGAAGAACTACGGTGTGAGATGTGTGTTGGCGGAGCGAATGTGGTAGGTGAAGGTTCGTTGGCGCGTAGGATGAGTTCGCGATATCGAAGCTTGAATATTCTAGCGGAGTTTTTTGCGGACCACCGAGCTCTGGGTTTCTGCCAAGCCCATACCCCTGCCACACCACTTTACCTTGTTTGGCCTGTTTGCATTGACTGGGCCAAACCTCCACATCATCCACTTTCCGCATGCCGCATACCGTGTACAGAACCTCACAAGTCGTCGTGTAGTCGTCGCATACATTTCCACGTCCACAGCGAACATGGCGCGATTTCAAATTATTCTCGCGGTCCTCGCATCCTTCATATGGTGCTCAAGCGCACAATTCGGCTTCTTCGATCAGATGTTCGGCGGTGGAGGTGGACAGCAACATCAAGAACCACAGAATGTGAGGAGTGATAGTAGCTGGTACCAGGCACAATATGAGGGTGGTATGTCAATCTGTTCCTTTTTTACGCATCACATCTTCATTATTAGTCCACAACCCGGTTCACACTACTTCTATCGCACATGTTCTACAGTCACATCTAATGGCGAGACACCTAAATTCACTGCTAACGTTCCATCACAGCACAATGCTCTCACTACCTCTGCCCCGGCACTCTTTCTTGCGTCCACTTCCCGCACCACTGCCCTTGCGCTTGGGAAAATGTGGAAGACAAAGTCGAACTCAGCGACGGCATCGCGATCTGTGGCAGCAAGGGAGGATGGGCCAACGGCGAATTTGCAAAGAAGGTCGAGTTGGCCAGGAAAGGCCTGCTATAAGGGATGAGTAGTTGGAGTTACCATAAGAGAAGGAGCATAGTTGAGCCCAGCGTCACAAGGTTGGGCCGCGGAGAGCTCGTGTCCATTGGACGTGAAGCAAATGGACGTGGCTCGCAGAACACCATACGCCAACGGGAAAAATCTTGAAGAAGCTGGAATTGGGCCGAACAGGCCAGGTCATGAATCCGTCATATCGCAAATATACCAATACCAATAACGCCTGTGCTATGCAACGAGCGCCCTAACCCATCATCTCTTGACATATTTATACCGGTACCCCTGTTTCCCATCCTTTGCCTCTCTCTCTTCATCAACACCAACCTCTTCCCTCCCCCACTGTCTCATCAACACTTTGCCAAGCAACTTCTTCTCCTCCTCTATCTCCCTGACACTTTCGGTCCACTGTCCATCACGCTTACCCACCACTGTTTTAGCCTTCTCCTTCATAAGTTTACTAAGCAGTGTGGCTAATTTCTCATCCATTTGCCTGTTGATAGCGTCGTTTTCAGCGGCTTGGTTCGCAAGACGCGTCTCGAGGGCTGCTTTCTCGGAGCGAAGAACGGAAAGTTGGGCTTCCAAGGTGGCTGTTGTGTCTTGAGATGCGGATGTGGATGTTGCTTTAAGGGTCTTGTTGTCCTTGCGGAGGGCGGAAAGTTCGGACTTGAGGGTTTTTGTTTCGGAGACTTGCTTGCGGATAATTTCGCGGAGGTTGGCGATTTCGCTATCCTTTGCGTTTGCCCCTGTTGCAAATGATGAAATGGTAGTGTCTTCGTCTGTGTCCTCTTCCAGCTTTGCAGATGCGGCCGCGCGGAGCCTTTCAACTTCTTCTTTGGCCCGCTTGAGGTCTTTGGTAAGACTCCTCTTCTCGCTACGCTCTTGCTCGAGTACTGCGCCGGCTTTGCGCACAGCATCCTCCGCCTTGTCGCGGACGTCCTCCATCATAGCCTCGTGTCCTTCTTTCATGTCTTCATGTTGGTCGCGTAACTCTTTGTATTTGTTCTCTGCCTCAATCTTCAACTCCTTCATCTTGTTCAGCTTCTTCTCGAGGTCGTTGACACGGCGATCTGACTCGGCGCGAGCATCGCGCAGACGGTCGTTGGCATCTTCCAAGTCTTGCTTGAAGCATTCTGCGTCAGCTCGGGCTTTGGCACTCTCACGATGAGCCTCTGCAAGCTGCTGACGAAGATTCGTGTTGCCCGTCTCGAGACTCTGTAGCCGACCCTGGGCCGTGTTCAATCGTTGCTCAGCATGCTCTTGCGATTCAACAAAAGAGGAAATCTCTTGTTCTTTTGCAGATAGATCGGACTGAGCGGATCGCAGTTGGGACTGCAAGGATCTTATGCGCGCTTCGAGCTCCGCTACCTGCGGGGTGTGTCCATCGCTCGCAGATATTCCGATGCCAGGACGCTCTAGTTGCCCTTCTAGCGACTTGATGTATCTTTGTAGAGCGGATGTACTCTGCAGTTGTTGATCTTTCGTAGCTAGGTCTGCAAGCGCAGTTGCAAGCTGTGTCTCAAGAGAACCGAAACGCTTCTCCAGATCACCTGTGTTCGATCGGTACTGTTCCTTCGTGGTACTTTCCGCGCGGACGGCTTCGAGTTGTGACTGAAGATCTCTCACGCAAGTCTCCAGATCGGCCGAGCGACGAGTCCCCTGATCCGTTGCGGTGAGGTCCCTCCGTGCAGTCTCCAGCTCTGACTGCAGAGTGCGAAGTCGAGAGTTGAGATCAAGATTTGTATGAAACAGCTGCTGCTTAGCTGCTACATCGGCGTGTGAGCATTCAATTTCAAATTTGGCAGCCTGGAGTTGGCCTTCCAGTTCGGCAATACGGGTTGTGTGGCGTTGAGCTTTGAGTGCGATAGCGGAGTGCACCTCGTCTCTTCTTCGAGCCTCTTCACGAGCTGCCTTTGCGTCGGATGTAGCCGTCTCAAGGCTTGATTGCAAAGCATTCGCTCGAGCTTGGACCGAGGAAAGTTGCTCGGTCAACAATAGACGCTCCTTTTCCGCATCTTCATTACCATGTCCAGCTTCGTGGAGTTGCGTCTCCTTCAGGTCGTGGAGTTCACGCTCGTGTATTTGGCGTACCTGTGCCAGCTCTGCCTGAACTTCCTCTAGCTTCATGTCCTTGTCTTCGACCTCTTCGGTGAGTTGTCGTTTCGATTCTTCGAGAGATTTTCGTTGCCGTTCAAACTCTTCCAGCATGGTCTCCAGCTTGGTGAGGTTTTGGAGACGCATCTCTTCTCCGAAGTCATGCATCCTGGTCTCCAACGCATCCTCTCGCGCTTTCATGTCGGCATCCGCAGCTGCGTGAGCTGCTTCATCGTCTGCACGTTGCTGTTCCATTTTCTTCTCTAGGTTTGACACCTTCTCCTTATGCTTGTAGTTGTCGTTGCGTGTGCTCTCGAGCTCTGAGCGGGTATACGATAGGATTGTCTCGAGTTCGGTAATGCGCGATCTCGAAGTAGATTCGTGCTGTTCAAGGCGATGTTGCAGCTCTGCGATCTTATTCCGAGCCACATCCTGCTCACTTGTATCGATGATGGCCGAGGTGTGGCGTATAACCGTCTCTTGGGTAGGCTTGCGCGGTGTATCGTAGTCCTCAACGGTGGGTTGCAAAGATCGGGCTTTCGGAGGTGAGGATCGTGGGACTTGTAGATAACTATGTCTTGGTGCATGTAGCGGCGTCCCTGTGATTGCGCCCTCCATCTCCGTGTCTGGTAGATTGCTGAGAAAGCTCCGGACCTTCTCCTCGTTTTCCATAGACCGCTCAGATGCTGGTATACTGTGCTGACGCTCATTCTTTGTGCCGTTTGCGCGCCTCGTAGGGGAAGCGGTGCGAGATCGACTCTTTCTCCTCTGCTCCGTGTCTTCCACCACGACTGCCGGCTCGCCCACTTCTGTTGCCTGCCTGCTCTCACTTCCATCCTGTATAGCGTCCATTCTTATCACGGGTCGTTTTGTGTTGGCTTCTTTCCGCGATTTTATCTGCGCCAGCGGGAGATCTGCCGTCATCCAGTAGGTCATGTTCATGGTGAAGTCTTCTGGCCCTTCAATCTCGCTCGTGTCTACGTGATCGACGGGTGGTTGGTGGTGGTCTTCTAGTTCGGTCGACTCGAACGTGGAATTGAGGCCCAGAGCATCGAGATCCATTTCATATTGCGATCCATCTTGGGACGGGCGACGCGCTGGACTGCGTTGAGGCGATTGGAAGCGCGTGGGGCTGGCCGTATACGATGAATGTGTTCGGACCATGATTATTACATGCGACTATGGACAGGGAGCGTCGCGGTGTCGTGATGCTGGATAACGATAAGAATTGTGATACCCGTGTCTGTTTGTTGTGGTAACGCGACTACATTCTGTCTTGCGAGTCAAGCGCTAGTGCACGGACCAATATTACGATTCATTTTGGATCCCAGTGAAAGCTATGCTACTGCGTCCGTCAAGTCTCATCTACTCTGAAGCGCAAAATGATTGTTGAACAATGATTTTCAATGCATCGATTCCGATAAACGAACAGGTTGACGACTGATTACATCACAGACCAAACCACCGCCATCCATACGTCCTGTTCACTCTGATATCCAAGTACTTAGATACTTGTATCACAATCCGTCGTACAAATACTCTCCCAATAGTTCTGCTGGATCACTGCATTCTCATTCAGTCGCTACACGCTCGGATTAAAGCCACTCCTTTCCAGCTGGACTATGAGTACGTATCGAAACGACCCGAGTAGTAACTCTGAATTTAACGTCATCACGATGTGGGCTGTGCCAAAAACGGCATATTCTTCTCAGAACGTAATAGCTCTTCAACGCAGCCATACGGCTTCCATACAACATGATAGTATCTTGACCGCAAAGTATGACATTTCGAAACCCACACCGAAACATTGGAATGTCCAATGGTCAGGCAAAGGTGATGGGCGCCATGAAAAAGTGATACCCTGTGTTTGAGTGGCCATGAAGTTTTCAGGCCGTCTGCTCTATACTAGGAAAGCTAGATGTCTGCCCATAACTGACCGTGTGACCCCATCGGGTGCACGAGATCCTTAAAATGCGTCTTTGATGTCGTGATCTCACGCCCTTGGTTCATGCGGTGTGATACTACGCAGCATGACGTTTCTACTCAGCGGACTTGACTGCCCAGGCAGTCGTAGTAAATTTCTTCTCGTTCTCTGTGGAACCAAGTGGGCTCTTTTTAGATGGCTTATCGGTCGCGCTTCGTTTGGTGATCATCTGCTGGAGTAGCAGTCCATGATCGGTCACGGTTCGTATACGGAGTGAGCCGGCCGTGGGCACCGCGCTCCAGTCATGCCCATCAAAATTCAGCTTGAGCTCCGAGCTACCGCGTTGGGGAGCAAAGATAGCACAGAGATCGCATTATCTCTAGATGCAGTGCGACCACATTGCTGTCAAACGGCACTCCATAGTCGTATCGTGCAATGTCTTGTGCGAGATATCATCAGCTTTCATAGGTGGCCCTGATGTCTTGGAGGCTGCATATGTATCCAATTCGATGTCTTACCGACAAATTCCATGTCATGCATGGCGGGAGACCTGCCGGCTTCCGTCAAGCGTAGGAAGGATAACAGCGAGCATTATAATCTGCGGAGAAAATGGATGAGTTGGCGAGGGGTAAGAGGACCAGACGCAGTAAGAACGTGAGCAGCCCCCACGCATACGTTTCGAAGCGTCTCTCGCGCAAGCTTGTTTATTGTGCGTGCTGCGTATGCGGCGTCCGCTTGTGGGTCCGGGATGCTGAACCGAGAGGGGTCCTGCAGACGACATCATCGCATGGTGGTGATGTCGGCCAATTCCGAGCTCGACGATATAGTGACCCACCTTGTTGACGCTGCTCTCCCGAGCTGCGGGTAGCCGTTCGTCCTCTGGACTCGCGTGCACGTCATTGAGAAGGGTCCAGTGAACGTACAATCCTCGAAGGATGCGGTGCACAGGCGAAATGACAGATGATGCGGGGTATGCGCCTCTTTAGTTACACGACAGCGCGCACCAAGGTACTGGTTGCTCTGACACTCATCGCCGACCTCTTGTCTATCCTCTAGCAGTGCCGACCGCGGAACAGGTGGTGGTGTCTGCGCGTATCGCGACGTGTGGAGCAAAGAGTGATAAACAATCAGGGTCCGGTCGACAGCGGCGGCTATGCTCGGCTTCCCGCTCAGGGACAAAGGGCAATACTGCATGCACGCAATCATATCCTGCAACACCCATGGACTCTGTGGAGCTGCTATCCCATGTGTTGCTGGGGTTAGGGACTACAGATGCGTAGCTCACGCTGAGAGGCATGGCGTTCGTCATCTCGTGTGAGATTCAAAAGACTTGTGATCGTTTTGGCAAGGCTCTCCGAGAGTCTGCCCGTCGGCGCCGTGAAAACGTCGTCTTCAACACTGTGGAACTCTGGCAGTGTTGCTGGCGTCGATCAGGTACCCTCAAGCATGAGAGAGATTGGGTGCAGGCCGGATTGCAATCGCGGCATGAGTGCTGGTGGTTGGCATGGAGCACGGACAACCCCAAGGTCTGCTTGCAGCTCATCAAGTGCTGCATGACACCAGCATCAAAGGGATGCACTATTGTGGCTGCCTCTGACGTCCCATCCATATGTCGAAGCTGACTCGATCTACTCGCTGACTGTTGCTTGCCGCCGGCCACAGAGGCAATCTCCCAGCATTATGGCCGCGCCATCGTGGAAAATTCTCGGAGTGCCTCTTCGAGTCACCACACCCGGCGGATATCTCCACTTGCATTTCGACTCACATAAAGCGTTGATGCTTCCTAGCACTCACTGATCCACCCCACCAGCGCCAACAGCTGTCCCTCACTACACCCGCTATCCACCGACCGGGTTCTGTCCCACGCCTTCACAGTCGACGTCAGCAGCAGCATCCGCTCTACGCGCAGGACCGATTCTTGCGTCCAGCCGTCATCTCAGTGTTCACTCCCGTCCAGTGTGCTACCCCACGCGCCCAGCTCGCCCCGCGCATTGCGCACGCTGCCCTGAAAACCTACTTTAGGGTTCACCCATCTGCACCATCTGGGAGCCTCCCAGCCAATTAGACAAGGGTCACCTGCATTGATCCCCACGCTGCATCTCTACCCCAGACTCACGGCATTTCGTCCTAAGTGAGCCACGACTCAAAGTCACATAGAGCGGCCTCTAAACCGTGCCCTGCGATTGTGTCACTTTCACGCATGCCATCGGCCCGCAACTGAATCGGTACGATTGCTCACAGCACCTCTGTGCCATATACTCTCTCGGTATCCAGGCAGTACACATTCCATTTCCCAGTAACACATACCCAGTTTGTGGGATGAATTTCGGCTTCAAGAACAATACTTCACACTGGCCTGTTGGACAAGAACACATCAACCGATAGCCTGGTCAGATCCCCCGCATTTTTATCTGTGGCTGCATACCATCATTGCTTTACCAAGACTCTCGGAACAACGATAAGCTTGCTTTTTCCACTGTTCCTGGAGGCTCCACGGGCCCTCTAGCAAGTCGTGTCAAACCCGACTTACCGAATCGGAACAGAGTCCCGCAGCCAGCTACCCACGGCACGCGAGCGATCGTCATCGAGAACGCCTATTCTTATCTCATTTTTGTAGCACGTAATGGACTCATCTTTGACACTTCTCAGTGCTAACATCCGAATTCTGGTACGTGGGCTTTCTCTTCCTCGTGCGCCTTGCTGTATTGCATGGTAACAAAAGTGTCCGTGTCTTACACCGGAGGGAGCCTTGGTGGCGGGTCCTTCATGCACCACATACGGAAAGGCAACTCTTATCATTTGCCTCCCACACAAAAATTTTTCTTCCATGGACATCAGCTAACATGATCACCTCTAAGGACACTCAACTTGCTCTGATACACATCCCGCTGCACCTGTATCGCAACTTTGTTCAGTCAATTCTTCAACTAGTATTGCCCAATGCAACGCGCAAGGCTTTCGGGAACGGTTCTGGTGCGGTGCAGCCTCCGAAAGGCTGGCCTTGCGAGCATCCCTTTGTGAATATCTCTATCACGCCAGTCGAGTGCTCCATAGTATGCTCAAGGACACTTGCGAGTGAACTGTTCGTGCCTGTTCTCAATTTGTTGGATGCTGAATCAAAAGAGTCTGTCAGTATCACTACAGATGACTTTGTTGTAATGCAAGTCGATGGTGAAGGACTTGACGCAGGCCAACGCGTCTTGGAGCTTACGAATCCTCTCGCTCTGGCTGGAATGTGAGTAGTAATCGCCGTAGAGATTACACTTGAGACTGACTTTATTCCAGTCCCATCTTCTTTATTACCACTTATTTCTCCGACTACATTCTGGTCCCGTTGCGACATCGATCACAGGTCGTGCAGGCACTAGAGGAACGTGGTTTCCAGTTCGAAAAGGACACTTCTTCATACGTCAACTCGTTCCAACATGGCCGCAAACACTCAGCCGCGTCACTCGAAGTTCAACCGCCCAGTACCCCTCCGCCAACCACTATTTCAGAGCTTCAAACCAGGACCTTTGCAACGCTCAAGCGTCGAAGTATTGTCCCTACAGTAGATTCCAGTATCCGACTCGTTCAGTGTGCCGGTCGCCGGGATAGCGCAAATGGCATGGACCAAGCTCGAAATCGCAACAGCATGACGACTGCCGCCGACGACGCACTCCATCTTGGTCTCGTAAAATGCCTCATCACCCAACCATATCCAAAATTTTTATCCCTCACGCTAACTGACACCGAATCTGCGGCATTGCTGTTCGACCATACTCTGTTGCCGCATTTTGCGCAAGATACTCTCCTCGGCTCAAGAGATGAGTTTCTGACGCCCATCACATTGGATCTACGGGATTTGCCAATGGAAAGCACGGGTATTGTGTGTGGTGTAGCCGGCAGATTGGTTGGCGAAACGACAGGACAGCTGGAAGATCCTGTTGAAATGAGTTATCTGAGCACCGCGCGTGCCGGGACGGTCATGGTAGCTGAACAGGAACTGGACCGTGCGCTTGACGCTCTGCGTGGCGCTGAAAATGGCGAGTTAAAAGTAGACGAGTAGTCGTGCGCAGGATATGCAAGTGCGGCACAATCTTTTGACATGCTCTGGTTTGCAGGAAGGTCGCTTGATTATGCCGAGTATACGCCTGTTCCTTTCCACTCGGCTTTCGTCGGCTCTCTCTTTGCTACAGCAAGCAAGTTCGCTAGGACATGTGCATGTAGCTGTTATAGTGTTAGGCGATAGTATCAAAAAGTTGTCGTTCGTGTGTTCGTTTGAGCAGTTCATCACGTGTGCGACGCGATCTTTGAGCAGTAGATTTGATTTGTGCAAGTGGCTTGGTTCTCCAAGTGCTTCAGGACATGAGCACACGCCGCTCCAGCCATTTACATCAGTGCTTCGTACTTGATATGTACAACAGCATATGTTAAGGTTCGCGTCGCGGTTGATTACATGGTCTGTTCAGTCAAATGCTCGCGAATTGATGCAGCCACTTGTTGCCCACCAATCACAATGAAAAAGCCGTTCTGGCCCCCACGACAGCTCCTCGTGTCATTCAGCTCAGACGCGAGACAACAGATCGCGATATTATAACACCCCAATCATTGAGCGGACATTTTACTGGAAACGTCTCCGGTCTTGGTTTACCTCCCCTACAGGCATAGGAATCCTTCCCTTGGGGCCTCACCACACCTATGGCGACAGGGCATTCACCGCTGGCCTTTATAGAGGACAAGCAAGCACCTGTCATCCTAATCGAAGTGACTAGTGATGGTCATGCAAAGAGGCTGCAAGTGACTGATGATCTAATTGACGGATACATTGAAAATGATTTTTCGGCAAGTCTGTCAGAAGTCCATTGTGGACATGCGCTAACATAGACGAAGACAAATGGAAGCAAGATTGAGCAGCCAGCGAACGTGGAGACCATTAAGTTGTTGTGAGCATGTTCTTTGAATCGTATGCCGGCTGTAATGCTAACATGTTCTTGTCGTAGCTGGTCCAGACGCATAGGAGATTACAATGGCAATATGACGCCGGTACCTCTGTCATGGCATACGTTCAGACGCATTGCTATCTTTGCACGGATACCAGAAATCTATGCGCGCGTGCTGGACTACAAGGCGGCAACCTACGTCTTCGCTGCTCCCCAGCTGCCCACGTTTCTGCGGCATAGGTCTCCAAAAGCAATGCGAAAGCAATACCTAAGTAAGGAGCAGGGATACATTAATCCAAATATGCTGCTGAGCTCATCATGCTAGGTTTCATCTTGCAGTCAGTACCCGGAGCAATGTCTCATGTGTGTGTGAGCGCTTCTTTCACCTACGATTTCTCCACTAAACATATGTACATCTTTATGCATGGCCTTGCAAGCAACAACTACGATCGGTTTTCATATGCGATTCAAGGAGGCGCCTCCGGAATATCAGCATTCCTAGTGCCAAGTATTATCGTGCGCTTCAATCTTGAGCAGCGAGTGAAAGCACTGAACCTTTGGCAAGATAAAATCTATTGGAATGAGAGAAGGATAGGCATCCGATTCGACCACTATGATAACCCTGAGCTGTCAAGTATCGACTTCAGTACGCTCTCGAAAGACCTAAACGCTGTGAACACAAATCTCGCATTTATAGTCCTGCTTTGCAAAAGCACTACACGTATGCTCGAGTTTCTTGATCAGGTTGCAAGGAGATACAAAAGGCAAGCAGACAATAATGGGGTACCTGAAGACGAATCGACTGAAATCGAGCAACTGCTCCTTGATACCAATTCCGAGCTGCGATCCTGGAACGTGGGGCTTGAGGATCGAGCAGAATACGTATCCAAGCGAGGACAAGCCCTAGTGCAAACTGTGAGTGTCTCATAGACCTTTTGGCAGTATGCTGACATGTTCTTCTCCAGGTCTATAGTGCGATTGCCCAGCGCGACTCAGCGACAAGTCTTCGTTTGGCGAGCACGAGTACCAGTCTGGCGCAATCGTCTCAAAGTGTAGCAATATCAACATCCCGCGACAGTGCCGTCATGAGAATAATCGCTGCAATTACCATCTTCTTCTTACCAGCAACGTGTAAGTAATGCCAATATAGGAACTGCATGCGAGACATGCACTGACTTTGTAAACCTGAATCTAGTCACCGCTGTGAGTTCAACCGTAACACACAAAATTGACGCATGTCAGCCTAACAATTGCAGACTTTCTTCAGTACCACATTTTTCAGTTTCAACGATGACTTAGGTGGCCGCGTATACTCTCCGTGGATCTGGCTTTACTTCTTGGTTACAATCGCACTGACCTTAATCGTGGTAGTGGGCACTTGGTTCTTGTGGCGTAAGAAAGAGCAGGAAGTCATGGCGGCTTTGATCACACCTAAGGAGAAACAAGAAACAGATCCTGTAGGATTGAATCAGCGGCCAACCGAATTTGAGTTAGATCAGTTTGTTGAGCAAGAAAGTGGAAATGTAGCGCGGAGAGCAACTATCGAAAGGTTACGTACAGGTTTAGATTGGACTCAGTCGATAACCCAAAAGAGGACGGTATATGGGAAAGGAGAACCGAGCGCGTAACGCAAGCTGAAACAATGGAAACAGCGCGTTAGCAGTCAAGTATCAAGATCATACCGACACTTTTCGTAGGCGTATATCACTCAAAACCGAAGTCCGCACAGTCCGTCCAAGATAGTCATTGCTTCGTTGTGAGAACATCTTGATTCCTGCATATGTTCTACACGTAAACAAGTTGCTATGTCCTCGTAGTTTACTATCTCTTTTCGTTCTTGAAGCCTTGAGTCATGAGACATGGAGATATGGTGGGGTATCTGTGATGCTTTTGGCGGTACTAGCTCAATCACTACTTACGGACTTCATGGCCCAGATGCCTTGCTGGCACCGGTTGTGACGTGCACGGCATGATGTGTTCCGGAACAGACTTTATCCCCTCTCGTGCGCGTCTTCACATGCCTGAGTCAAACTTCCTGCAGCTTCACCGATCTTTTCTTTGACTCTCTTCCAATATTAATACTGTCGGTCCAAAATCTTGCTCTTCTCCTGTATCGGTGTTGACGCCTCTTCTGATCTTGTCATCCTGGGTTTCTTCCTCAGTAGCAAAGCGGTAGCACCTTGTCTCGGCTAGTCCAAAGCGCTTCCCCTTCACAAGGAAAGCTTTGACACCTCGATGCGTAATAACAACGATGTTGCTGTATGTTGCGGGCAGATCTTTCAACCTTCTTCGTACATTTTCTGCACGCGTAGTAGCGCTTTCTATGCTGTGTTCCGGATAGTCCCACTCTTCATGACATTCAGAAAAGTCGAATTGCGGAAATTTTGCTAACAGCTCTGCCCGTGAAAGACCTTTGTTGCAAATGGCGTCGTTGGCTTCACGAAGATCGGGCCAGATCTGGGTAGGAACTTCCCAAGGACCTGCCCCAGTCAAGAATGGGAAAAGGTTCATAGCAGTTTCGATCGTGCGTGTCATGGGTGAGATGAGAATCAGGTCTGGCCGAATATTGAGATTGATGCGTTTGGTGGAGGCGTTGCCGGCTTTTGTCAATGGCGGGTCTCTGTCCGGATAGCCCCGCTGAACGTTATGAAGTGCTTCACCATGGCGTACGATATGCACAAGCGATGTCATGACTGTTGTGCAGCCAGGTGAACAGGGCAAAGATCACATCGCTGTCCAAGTTTGGATCTGATCGATGTTGGTTGTTAAACGTCCACGGATGTAAGCTTTGACGATAACCCTCTCGTCACTGGTGCTAAGGACTAGAATGTATTAGTGTCGTCTGCAAGTCCTCGGAGCTCCCTGCTCTTGCATGCGGAGCTACATCATCTCAATCATCATCATCACCATCCACATTCTTCCTGCACTCATGCCGGTGGTAAATATCCCGGTATCGTCCGACTGAGCGATGAAGCTTTACCCAAGAAGCTCGTTAGCGGTGCAAAACTTGTTCAGAAGATAACGTTCATCATTGCCAGGGCCACCGAAAGATCTCCGCGAAACCCGATGTCGGATTGATCTGCATCTGATAAGATGAGATTGATAATTAGCCCCACAAGGGCCAAATCGCACGCGTCCCACCGACCGCTTGAAGCTCCATATCTGGCAGAGTACTCGTGTTGCGACAAGGTGTAGGAAAATTCTGCAATCCTCCATGCATTACCGCCTCCGTGCAAGGCTCCGGTACTGAGGGGTGCGCGATGTAGTCCAGCGATGTAACCATGGGACGTATAAGAATGAACACGTTGAAGGCTTGACTGGCCTCGACACCTGTGCTTTATGGTTCCAACTACGCGACCATTATAACATGCGTCTTCAAAGTATCCTCCTCGCCTCGTTGGCTTCCCTTCTTGTTCATGCCCAGAACCACACGGCTCAACAATGGCCATGGCAAACTTTCAAATCACGCCCAGGATCCGAGCCTCCAGTGCTCTCTATCAACAAGACTGGTGCTACCTCGCCAGGGCAGATTCTCTTCCCCTTGAGCGGGAGCGAATCGCATAACTACAGCCTTAACATTTTCCAAGAAGATGGTGAACTAGTCTGGCAGTCAGGATACGGCGACTATGCCGCATTCCGAAGGACTACGCTCTTCGGCGAACCTGTACTTGCCTACTTCGCTGGTGTCTCTTTCAGCGAACCATGGGGTTTTGGATATGGGATAATCTACATCCTCAACCAACAATACGAGAACATATATAACGTCACACTGTGGAACTCGACATATCCATTGGAGAGCATTTCTCCCCTGTACGATCCCACGCAGTATCAGCCTTTCAGCTGGATCGACATGCACGAGAATCTCATCACGCCCGAGGGTACAATGTTCGTTGGAGCTGTGAATGTTACGCCGTGGGATCTGTCATCTATCGGCGGCCCAAAGGATGGCTGGGTTGTAGACTCCATTGTGCTGGAGCTCAACGTGACGAATAGTGAGGTGCTTTGGCAATGGAGCCATCTCGACCATGTGGATCAGGTTACGCTCGCCAGTGCTGTGCCTACATATCCGCTTGGTGACTTAGGCAGGAACAGCAGTTATCCTTGGGGACCGTTTCACATCAATTCTGTGGAGAGGTTTGACGACGGTAGTTTCTTGATCTCGTCAAGACACTACTGCTCCATTTTCAAGGTCAACCGCAACGGAACGGTTGAGTGGACATTGAATGTGAGTCTTGCATACATTTTCTCCATATATACTACCAAGTTTGGTAGCAACGAGCATGAAACTAACATGTTATAAGGGCTACTCCGGAGGCGATTTTACTCTGATGAACAACCTCTCATTCTGCTATCAACACGACGCGCGTCTACACCCCTCTCAACTGCCCAACACGACCACGATCTCCCTCTTCAACAACGACAACAGCGCAGTTGTATCTCATGTCAACCAAACCACTGGTATATTTCTTTCGATCAATGAGCACGACATGACCGCGTCGTTGCTACAAGAACTCGCCGACCCCAACGACACCATTTACTCGGTCAGCCAAGGCAACATGGAAGTGCTCCCTTCCGGTAACATCGTGATGGGATACGGAAGCGTTCCAACGCTGAAGGAGTTCGATCAAGACGGCAACGTATTGCTTAGCGTTTCCTGGGGCGAGGCGGAGGCGGTACAGAGCTACCGCAGCTACAAGGCTGAGTGGGTTGGTAAGCCTAGCTCGAAGCCAGATGTGTACGCGTGCAAGTCAAGCAATGGTACGGAAGTCTACATGAGTTGGAATGGTGCTACAGAGCATCGGGTTTGGACTGTATTTGGTGGTGTATCCAACGAAAGCTTGAGTGAGGTTGTCAGTGTTAACAAGACTGGGTTCGAAACTAAGGCAGTCGTGACTCAATCACTCGGTTTTGTAAGGGTGGAGGCAAGTGGAAGAGAGATTGACAATGGCGTCTCAAATGTCGCTGGTGTAGTTGAGATGTGCTAGATAGATTTTGTCCTATGTAGTAGTCACTTAGCGAAACACGCATCAAAAGACTATAACGTAGTTCACAAGCGAGTGACGCACTTTTGCCAAGACCTCACTAAACTTTAATTAAGTCGTAATGCCTTAACGTAACAGCGTAAAAACAATCTTAAATAAAGCGGATATACAGCTTGCGATACAGGCTATCTAAAGAGACGCGTTACTAATGTAACGGGCTGAACGCCCTTCAGATAGCTCCTCGATGGAATCTCGGTCTACTCGCAGAACCCGGGTGCTACCCCGAGCACCTGGATTCTATCGGCCCGATTGTTACTCGGGCAACTAGCATTGTATATAGATAGCTGCGTAGCTTAGGAGCTTAGTTCTCTATCGAATACAACCTCTTGTATACCTCGCGATTGCTCCACGGAGCGCAGCCCCTTACAT